GCCAAGCACTCACGCTCTGCTATCGAATAGTTACGTTCAGGGGCCGATAGGAGGCGGCTGGAATATGCAATAACGCAATCATGGCCATGTTGTTTCTGAGCCAGCACTGCACAAATGCCATGCCCACTTGCATCTGTACGGATTTCCGTAGGGGCGGCAGGGTTGAAGTGTGCCAGAATCGGAGAGGTAGTGAGAAGAGCGACGAGAGCCGAGAACGCAGAAGCCTCTTCGGAGCGCCATGAAAACGGGACTTCTTTCTTGAGGAGCTGCGTAAGCGGCCTCGCTATGTGCGCAAAATTTTTCACGAAGCATCGAAAGTAGGAGCATAGTCCGATAAAGCTACGTACAACCTTCGCAGATCGTGGTACAGGAAAGTTTTTGACGGCGCTAATTTTTGCCGGGTCTGGCTGTACACCGTTGGCGTCTACTAAATGGCCAAGCACTGTGATTTGATGGCGTCCAAAGTGACATTTGGACAAGTAGAGCTGCAGGCCAGCGCGACGGAAGATTCTCAGGATGGCTGAGAGGCCCTCTATGTAAGTTTTAAATGTTGGTGAAAAGACGATGACGTCGTCCAAGTAGCACAAACAGGTGGATCATTTGAATCCTCTGAACAGGGAGTCCATCATTCGTTCGAAGGTGGCTGGAGCGTTACAAAAGCCGAAGGGCATGACCTTGAACTGATATGGGCCATCGGGGGTGATGAATGCCGTCTTTTCACTGTCCATTTCATCTACCTCTATCTGCCAGTAGCCGGAACGAACGTCTATGGAGGAAAAATAGTGGGACCTATAGAGGCAATCAAGCGCATCATTTATTCGTGGCAGGGGGTAGACGTCTTTTTTGGTAATTTTGTTTAGGTGTCGATAATCCACACAGAAACGCCATGCCCCGTCTTTATTGCGGACTAGCACTACAGGAGAAGCCCAAGGACTGCAGCATGGCTCAATGATGTCCTTGGCGAGCATTTCGTCGACCTCACTTTGGATGATGTGACGCTCGGCCGCCGACACCCGATATGGACGCCTATGAATAGGATGCTCATTACCAGTGTTTATGAGGTGGCTCATACCGGTAGCTTTCTCCAACAGACGGCCACTGATGTCAAAAACGTCGATGTACGACAGCAGAACCCGGTGGAGCTCATCAGTCTGCTGCGACGTTAAGTTGGCAGCTATCATCGAAGTAATAGCGCTGTCGGAGCATGTGGCAGATTGATGTTAAGCATGGGGGTCAGAATGGGCGGCCATCGCGAAAACATCTACCCTATTGTCTTCTCAGGTGCAGAGCAACGCCAAAGAGATCCCTTGTGGCAAAACTTGAGGTGTCAAGCTAAAGTTGACAACTGGGAGGCACGTAGAATTTCCTGCGACGAACAGAATGGTGTGCGGTAATGTAATGCCACGGCTTATGAGAACATCGGTGATAGGGGTCAGAACATAGTCACCATCGGGAACTGGTGGTATTGAGACGAGGTCTATCTAGGTCAGTGTCTGTGGAGGGAGGTGCGCGTGTCCCGTTGTGCAGAGGCGACTCGGCCGTTGTGTAAGAGGTTCTGTTGCGGGCAAGTGTAGACGGAGCGTACTGGTCGAACAGTCTATAAGGGCAGAATGCGTGGACAGGAAGTCGAGGCCTATGATTACGTCGTGGGGGCATTTATCAAGAACGTTGAAGAGAACAACTGTGTGTCGATCCGCAATGCTCAATCGAGCGGAGCACATTTCAACGATAGATGCTATTCCACCATCCGCAACACGGACGAACTGAGTGGTCGCAGGTGTGAGAACCTTCTTAAGCTTGCGGCGAAAATCACTCGTCATCACGGAAAGTTGGGCGCTGGTGTCGACAAGAGCAGTGACAACTACGCCGTCTACTTGTACGTCTATGAGGTTCCGTTTTGTCGGTATCGTCAAAAGAGGATTTTTGGTCAGTCCGAGCGATGCAGCGCCACCTCCGGGGGCTGCAAGCGCTTAGTTTTCCGTCGGGAAACCTCGTGGGAAGGCGGAGGAAGATGGTCGGCAGGGCTGTGGAGAACGAGACTGGCGACGTTGGGGGGATGGAGAGTGGGAGTAGAGGTGTTCAGAAGCAGGTTCCTGGGCAAATTGATCGCGGCTGGTCTCATGGCGATAGGCAGGACGTGCATAGAAGGGACGAGAGGACGATTGTGCAGGAGAACCCCAGCGACTTCTGCAATGGCGAGAAATGTGCCTGATTCTGTGACACGAGAAGCATATCGGTTTGTCATCATGTGTTCGCCATGCGGACGAATTACGGAACGTTGAGGGAGAGCTGATAGGGAAGGGACGTGCAGGCGTGTATCGGGCCTGGTAGTCGGTGCTGGAAGGCGGTGAGATAGAGTGAATTCCCAAGCTGGCGATTTCCTGCCGGACGACTGCTTGAATGAGAGGCAACGTAATTGGCGGAGAGGGGTCAGGGGACGTTGGTCCCACCTCAGCTGGAGCAGTCGCTTCAAGCTCCCGCCTGACGATTCGCGTTAAGTTGTCACAGGTGTCTTGTGTATGATATGTGTCGAGACACGAAACGTCGTAGTGGTGTTCGGGAGGCGCTGAAACTGATGGAAGATGCGTCTGCTTTTAGCTTGTCGGAACCGGCGGTATTCTTGAAAGATCGCATCAACAAATGACAGATTGTTGAATACCAACAAGTTGAACGCATCTTCGGCGATACCCTTTAGGATATGCACAACGTTTTCAGTTTCAGACATATTTTCGTCAGCTTGGTGGCATAGTGAAAGGACAGCCTGAATATAACCGATGTAGGGCTCCTTGGAAGATTGTGCGCGAATCGACAACTCATTTTTTGCAGCTTCACGACGACCAGAGTTGTTGCCAAAAAGCTCACGGATCTTTGCCTTGAAGCTGTCCCAGCTTGTTATGTCATGCTCGTTCTTATGAAACCAAACACGAGGGGCTCCGTCGAGATAAAAGATGACGTATGCGAGCATAAGAGTGGGATCCCACCTGTAAGTGGGGCTGACTCGTTCGTAGAGGCGTAGCCACTGGTCGACGTCGGAACCCTCGCTGCCCGAGAACACGCCGGGGTCTTTGAGCGCGGGAAGCGTCACGAAAGTTGTCGCGGGCGCTGGAGTGACAGGTCGGGCAGAAGGGGGAGCGACCGGAGAGGATGTAGCCGAGTCTTGAGTTGTATGTTGTAAGCCGCGAGGGAGCGTCCGCTTCGGAGTTCCGTGGCGAGGACGGGGATCGCACAACTCCACCAAATATGTTACCGGAAGGAGACTGACTCAGAGGGGTAGTCACCGATGTATTTACAGCCGGTTAGGCGAGCAGCGCCAGCCACACAGATTAGCTCGTGCCAGTCTATCTGCTTTCTCTTCTTCAGCTCCATGCACTGGCACGTAGCAATATATTTACAAGTGATTGGTATAGGTTTAGGTGTGTTAAAAGTTTATATATGACATTACATCTGGAGTCTCAAACAAGCGGCTTATGGACAGCTCGCTAGCGACCCGCCATGCTCCTCGCCATCTTCGTCCTATATAATGTTTTCTCAGATTTTTCATGTGTCATGTAGACGGGCTTGGTCTCAATCATTGTTTATTTGAAGCACCTCATGCGGGCACCATGCCGCAAAAGTGCAGAACAAAGCCAATGTGTATAAATCTTCGCCAATAAAGCAGTTATGCTGTAAATGACTATAGATGATTCTATTAAAACGTCACAGCAAGTCCGCTTGAGTACTGATGATGAGAATATACCTTTGTTAAAAATCCCACGAATAGAAGTGCCTTTGACCACCTTGTTGGCAAATTGCAGCTTTTATTGCGATAGTGTTAGAAAACTCGTGTCGCAGAAATTCCGCCTTTGGTGTCGGCCCCGGTGGCTGTGAGCGAAAAGTCGTCCGTGAGTGAAAATTCGAAAACGCAAATGAAGTAAAGAATAAAATTTTTGGTCCTCTAAGGCTAGAAACGGGGCAGATCGCGTAGCAAGCAGGTGTTCTACCTTGAAACCACGATGTTACTTGCAGCTGGTTCAAACCAGATCGAGTCAAATCAATTCTTTATTTTTTCTTTTTCATAACAGAATGTAGCTGCCGCAAAGAGCTACTGTGAGAAGTAGGTTGACGAGGCGGACGCTCCTGAATTGACAGCTTTGAAAAACACACCAATAAATCACAGAGTAATCATTGGCACAAAATAAACAAAAATAGCAGTACTGTACGCAGAGATGATCACGAATGACCGACGAAAATACCAAAAAATCAACACCACCAAGAAACACTGATACCCACAATCAAAACGTTCTCTCAGATAAAGCAGTTCATGATCAAATTCATTTCAAAAGTGTACATCAACACAAATAATAACAATATACGGATCGCACACAATTAGAAATAACATAGCCAGGCAGCAGAAAATACGCTTAATAAACTGCTGTTTGGTGGGCGACATATATCAAATTTCAAAAATTACACAGTCAGGCGACAAAAATAAGCTTCGCGAAAAGACACTGCATAAATGCCATGTAATGAAAGGGGTATCTTGTTTGAAAGGTGTCATGACGGAAACGAGCCCCTTCAGTGATTTGCAGGCGCATTTGGGAGGCCATCAAACTACATCTAAAAAGGCCAGGGTAGTGCATTCATCACCGCTAAAAACACACAGAAACTTTCAAACAGCTCTAAAGATAAACAACTATGTCCATCTAGCGAAAAACATGTCATGCCTTTCCGGAGGCGTTATGAAGCAAAAAACAAGCACTGTATAATTTGCTTCTATCTGTGAAGCATTGTGAGACTTTTTGAGACCTCCGAGATGGTGATCGCGCTGTGTGTATCTTAGAGCCTATACGACTCTTAAACAAGGAAAGGGATAAGATTGCAGAGAGCATCCGGACTTCCAGCTCAGACTGTGCACTCGAACCGAGCACCGCAATTCGACGACTTGCGGAAGAGAATGCGGCGCTGCGACAAAAAAATGAGTCTGCAAAACCTGAGTACGAGAAGCTGCTCCCTGAGTGAAGGCCCGCCTGAAATACATAGGGAAGGCTGCCCACACAGAGTACGAGTCCACGCTACAGAACCTCAGGGAGAAGCTTCGGGAGACCAAGGCCGAGCAAAAGAGGCGTGTAGAAGAACTTCTTGCGAGCCAGGAACGGTACCAGGAAGAAGTGAAGTTGAAAGACAGAGAGGTGCTTCGGCTGAAGCACGAGTTAAGTGGACCAGTACGCCAATACGCTGGGCTCCCAGAGGCTCGAGTATGCCCAGGTGTGGCAAAATATCGAGAGAAGGCTGGAGGTCAGACACGCCGCAGAGATGGAGGCACTGAAGTTGGAGCACAGAACAGACATTGAGGTGCTAAGAGAGAGCCTGCAACAAGAGCTGCAGGACGTCAAGACCGGCTCTGAGGAGGAGCAGCTGAAGATGCACAGAAGCCTCGAGAGCGAGCACAACTTGGTGGCTAACTCGCAGAAGGCACAAAAAGCGCAGATTAAGAAGATGAAGGAAGTGCACGCAAGTGTCGTGAAACAACTGGCCGTGAAAAGAGTGCAGATGGAACAGCACATGGCCGAGAATACGTCAAGCATCCAGGAAATAAAAAGCAAACCATAGGCTCACTACACAAAGATCGTGAACACCGCATGAGTAGAGTTGAGCCACAGCAGTCATGTGGCTGCATGCCTAATTGGCGAAGGCGGAGCAGCAGCTGCGCTCCTTGCGTCAGCAGCATGAGAAGGATCCACCAAAAAAGGAGAAAGGGGTTGCTGCGACAAGCAGTCTACCTACAGCAGAAAAGCCTGCGATCCCTGTAATGCTCGATAGTTTAGATGGGAACCTTCCTGAAAAAAAGCCAAGAAAAGAACCACTCAGGAAGCTGTTAAGGTAAAATTTCACGCTAACGTTTCTGTTCCAAAAAATATAGAGTCCTCAGCAGAATGGTCGGACATTTTTGTAAAGATCATCTTGTACGAGTGGTCTGAACTGTTGAAGCAGCTGAGGAGCCTCAGCGCCACTGTGAACAAACTGCAGGCAGAAAAATAAGACTTCGAGGAGTCCTTGGAGAGAGTGACAGAAAGGGGGGACACGTTCAAGAAGAAACCTGCGGCCAACGCACAAAGAGGCTGTACTCGAGGTCTGAAACTACATCTAGAAAGGCGATGCGAGGCGATCTCGCATCTACATGCACGAAAGTGGAGATGTGAGCGCCGAAGGCTTCAGCAGTCAGAGCCTCTGCGGGGACGTCACGCTTCTACGGTAGCCGAGCGCGACAGCGTTCAAGGACTATTACGTGGAGGAGTGGCCGCCACCCAGACATGACAGGTCCGGGTGGCTACAACGGTAAAAGATGACATTGCTGACACGTTTACCACGACCATGGCACCGTGCAAAAATCTCAGCGCCAGAAGGTCTATTTTGACTACTTTTGACGCGTTAGCTCGATGGGACCAGATCTGCACCTGGAGCATCGCATTCTTTTCATGTTGCGACTGACGACCATACTGAATAACTTGAGTGAGACCGGTGCACCTCCGTCTTCTGGTGGCGGTGGTGTTCAACTCTGTGCGTGGATCCACTGTGCCGAAATGTAGTCTTGTGTGTCACGTGCGGTACATCGTGGCCTGGGCAGGCAACTACCACATAACGTCCCCCTTTCCACTTTTGCCGAATGGGACGGGGCAGTATGGGAGTCTCAGCCGCGAGCCTGCCGATTCCAGAAGGAAGAAGACAACGATGATCGGGTGTGCGCTGAGTGGCACGCGGCACCCGCAGAATGCGGGTGTTTGCGGCCCGGGTTCCGGTCATTAAGGAAGGTTCGTGGGCTGGCTCCGCATCTTCCGAGCGCAGTTCTTGGCCGAGAAGCCTCAAAGCCTCCTAACAGTATGCACTTAGCTGTTGAAGGGCGCACTATATAGGGGCCGAATTTCACTATCGCGCTCAACCCTTAAAAGCAAAGCTTAAGAATCCCCCAATTTCTTTCACGCGTCGACTCAACGGCTCTTCGGACAGCCCTAACTTGATCCGTGAGTTACGAACTGATGAAAATGGACGACCACAGCAGCCGGCGATCTAGGAAGACCGATATATGATCATGCTAATTTGAACATCCCCCCAATTTGGCTTGAACGATGGCTCTAGCAGACTGGCGTAAAGCTTGCATGTGTCACTTGAGTATATCTTGGCGTAAAAAGAATTTCATTGCAAGGAAATAGAATCCCCTTCAGTGTTGACTCACATATTACATAGGAGAAGATGCTTGCCAGCAAATGATAACTTTCGCTAACACTTGTTAGCATCATTCGCCCTTCTCACTCTGAGCTTCTTCACTGTTTTGTCATTATCCAGACTTATTTTTTATTTCTGCCCGCTAGATAGGGTGAGTTCAAATCCTGTGCAGCAGATAGGGTTACACCATTTCTTTTAATTATTGTTGGAATGATCTAGCAGAGGATAGGCATAGAATAATGAACTTGACTACAAGTTTGTTTTCATTCTGGCGCACATATACTTTTAAAATGCTGGGGTTGGTCTTCACTGTGAAAGTGGACGAGCAGTGGAGCTGATGGGCTCTCTGTCGTTGGCACTGTTCAAGAGCCTGCTGCTGCTCGGAAATTCTTACAGACTGTATGCGCGACGCATTGCCGTGCCAGCATAGCACCTGTACGCTCAACAGACGGGGAGAACGACAACGTCAGTCAATTCCGCGTGACGAGTAGACGCAAACATAGCACAGTGGTTCTGAATTCCCGTCTAAGTGTTGTGATGCTATGGTCAACCGTTTTAAGTTTTATCATTAGACTGATTTTTTTGCGCCCTGCTTTGTTTTCTACTCTATCTGGAACCGGCCCATTTTAGACCAATACAAAATGCCAGATAGTGATGCCAAATATTGATGACGAATATTTCTTTTTTTTCTTTTTTGAAATGTGCAATGTCATGTTGACATCCTTGAATACTGTCATTTTTATAGATACGTCACACCGTTTTTCTTTATGCCTGTCGGCTGATTTATGCCCCTTACTCCGTCCCATTGAAAAGTTAATTTTACGGCGTAGACACACAATCATGACTTCAACCTCATCGGAAGCATGTACTACAATTTAGGTAAATTTGTGTATCAGGTTCGGCTAAGCAGATAGTAAGAGCTGGTACAGCGCACAGATATATCCGAGAAAGTCACTTTTAAAGAAGACTAGTTTTTCCTACTTCTTTGAGAGAATGAGAAGATTGCACACTGATTGCCTACTTCGAATATCTCATCCAACGATGTGTGGTTTAATTACGAAGCTTAGACTGAGGGCGCGTTTTTTATTCAAAAGGGGATTCACAGGCTCGTAGGTACAGGTAGCAACGTAGCTACATTCAGAAACAGCTCTTTTGTTTCTCTATTCTTCATCGCCATTGTTGCTCCGCCGTACACCTATGTACTCCATAGGTAGCAGAAAAAATATTTTAAATGACTTACTTCAATACAACATTTAAAATTGGCTTTCGTTCACCATCATGCCTCAAAAATACAGAAAAGAAATATACCCTTAGCAATAAACATATAAGAGCCTCGATCACTTGAAAGCATTGCTCTTCTGATCAGAATTGAAAAGCGCCTCGATTTCGAAAGTGAGTTGTTTCTGCGACATAAGCGTTGTTTCTCTACTCTCTCTGCTCTTCTTGCTAACACACGCATACAAGCACGCACGGAGACGCACGAACACACACGCGCACACCCACATAGGCGCAATGCGTACGTGTTTTCTTTAATTCAGCTGCTTAGGGCAGCTGACGCATCGTCGAAAACTGAATAAGAAGATAAAAATTGCATATTTTATTATTAGGTTATGTGAAGGGCCGTTCATTGATTACCAAATAACGACTGCCTTGTAAAGGTGTAAAGCCAGAATGGGTGTAAAGCCAGAAGCTTGTTCAGGTACTTTAGGAAACTTCATTAAGGAAAACCATTAGAGATTTTCGACTACTAGCTCTCCCTTTTTGAATAGGACGCGAAACCTTGGCAAACGATCGTTTATCAATTTCTGCTATGTTATTATGCACAGCATGCGCAATGGAGTGAAAAGAAAGCGAAGAACACGATCGACACAAGACTTAATACTAAATGTTTGGATGTCACGTCCGAAAACAACGACACGGTAATCGCAGACGCCGCAGTGGAGGGCTCTGGAAATAATGGCTCGTGTGGTCTATCAACCTGCAGGTAAATCTAAGCACACGGACCTCGACAGTTTTCACCTTCATCAAAATGCGGCCATCGCAGGCATAATTTCGTCCAGTGACCTGCGGTTCCACCGATGAGCACCATACCACTCAACTACCACAACGACTAAGGTATAACACGTAAGAAACAACAAGTATAGTTGACCTAGCTAATGCTTTTATTGGTGCGATGCATGTAGGTGCAGAGATTGAGGTGCGCTCAACTCTCAGTGGTCTCTATTGTCTTTGGTAGTGCGAAGCCTCTGCAGGGAGCACTTCTTCTTGGCCGCCCACACAGCTCGACACGTGCAAAGGCGTCGTGAAACAGAGCCGAAGGAAAGAAATAGGGCAGATTGGCGTTTGCTTGCTCTGGGACAATTATTGAAGAACAGGAGACAAACAAAACTCTACGAGTTTGGAGAACGAAAAGGCTCCGGGTGTACGAGATTCTTTTCTATCGGATGCCGCTTTTCTTTTGTTGTGTGAAACACGAGGTACAACCCGGCGACAAAAGAACAGATAGGATGAAGGTAAACGAAGGGAAATGGTGATTCGTGTCCGAGTCAAAAAAGAAGAAAAATACAGGAAACGGCGGAAAACAAGAGGCGAGCATTCGGCGTCTTGAATTCAGCAATGAAATGAAGCGTGTTTGCCTTCGAGACACAGAATAGCGAGCGTGCCCAAACTAGAGTACCGCACGGGTATGGCCGGCCAGAAAGCCCGGGCCCGGCCGTGTAGGCATTGTTGGATCGGGTCCGGGCTGGGCTTGGGCGCATTAGCTTTCGGTTCGGGTTGAGCCTGGGAATGAGTCAGGCCCGTTTTAGGTACTGGTTGTATAAACAGGGCGTTTAAAGCAACGGGCCCAATAGTATATTGAAATTAGAGAACGTGTGCACATGCGTGCTACCTGTGACGTTTTCTTTACTTTTGCGGAAGGCATCTTCAGGTGTGTACAAAGAAAAATTAGTACTGAAGTTAAAATAATAAAACAATAAAATTTTTACACATTCTAACAAAAATAGCTTTTATTGAGGGCATTTTTGTTGAGAACAGTAGATGCGCAGTTTGGAGAGTTGGTTTCAGTTTCACCAGCTAAATTAGTCATAATTCATCGCTCCATGGTTGTTACCAGTGGCCTCTTTTTCAAAATTTTGAAATGTCCATAGATCTATGGTATCAAAATCTTTATTTAGCCCACCTTTTGATGGACTTTTTTCACTGGTTAGAAAGTTAATTGTTTTATATCCTGCAATTTCAGTTCTAATTAATGTCTAAACATGTGAAGATGCCTACTGTCTAGGTAGAGCGAACGCCACAGGTAGCACGCCGATGCCTCCTTACTGTAATGTTGCCATGTTCCTTTCCTCATGTTTTGTTATCATCCCGTTACAGTACGTTTAGCGCAT